TACTGGTGTTTGCCTCATTATATGTTTTGGTGTTTCAGTCTCCAACATCCGTTCAACATGGCTCATCCAGCGCAGACGTCCGATCTTTATGGATGTTATGACCTCGGGTTCACTGTATGCTGTGTATAGTTCAAAATTATATCTTCTGCGCCATATGTCATTTTCTTTTACCCCCTTATACATATGTTTCTAAGGATTCTCGTTCAAACGTACCTAATAGGTTCTCATCGCTTTTCGACTGTATCCATGTCTCTGATCCATACAAGGACCGGTTTTATCAGGGTATTTTTTTTTTCTTGTAATGTTGTTAGATGTTGAATTAGTCCATTATATGTTTTATTAGCGATATATATTCTTCTCTTAACTTCTTCACTGACATTGTTATCTACGGTAACTAGTGAACCTAGATATATGTAAAAAATTTCACGCTTTCGATGTTATAGTCTCCTATTGTCTGATTCTGTAGGTTTCTTTGGCCTGTCGATTTGCTGGCCTTCATGTATTTAGTTTTTATTTCGTTAATATTTAGGCCACTGTTTTGTGCCGCTCTTTCTATCGCATTAATCGCTTCTATAATCTCTCTTTCGCTTCTAGCTATGATATCAACATCATCTGCAAATGCCAATCTTTGTACACTTTTTGTTATTATTGTTCCTCTGGTGTTGACTTTTGACTCTAATTATTTTCTTTAATATCTCTATCTGTTGAATAGAATACGGGATAGGGCATCTCCCTGTCGTAGGCCCGTTCTCACATGTATTGCATCTGTTAGTGCGTTTTGAACTCGAATTTTGCTTTGTACTTAAGTGTTTTTTTACTATATCAATGAGTTGAGTTAGAATATTAAACTCTTTCAGTGCATGGATCAGAAATTCTCGATGGATGCTACCATAGGCACTCTCAAAATCAATGAAAAGATTATGTGTGTCTATATTAAATTCACTAGTCTTTTCCAAGATTTGACTCAAGACGAAGATCTGATCTATTGTGGACTTCTGCCTGCAGAAACTACATTGATTAATATCCCCCAACTATTTGTTTCGCATATGGTCTCAATCGGCCATACACAATAAATGACAGTATTTTATATGTCACAGTTAGTAGCGTTATTGCCCGGTAGCTTTTACATTGAAGCTGATCTTCCTTTTTATGTAGTGGAATAATTACTCCGGTATTCCAGTTTCGAATGTAATGTTTGTATATAAATAAAGTAAATTGTAAAAAAACAACGAATAGTTTAAATCAGGGTGGAATTGGCGGGGCTAAAAATATAAGCGAATTTTATTTTAGTTATAACTTACCTGAATTTTCATGAAAATCACATTTGCTGGTGGCCATTTTAAAGATTTTTTAAACTTCTTTAAAAAAGTTTTTATAAGTTTTTCATGAAAAACTTACCGTTTTCCGTTTATTCAACATCATATGTTTGGTTTTCTGTATTCGATAAATGAAAGTCTACTTTCGAAGAGCCAGAACTTACTATTAAATTAACGATAATAATAAAAAGCGAACCTCTTCGTTTTATTAGCTTCATTTTACAGTAACAGTTTTCCTGGCAATATCTAAATTTTTGGAGTAATTCACGAGAAACCGTTAAAAACCATGCTTTTTTGACGTGTAACTTCAGAACTTTTAGTCACGAATAAGCTCCAAAAATATTGACTTTTCGAAAAAACTCTTAAAAACATTTTTGTCATTTACAGTGTCTAAACTTTTTCCACTTCCGAGTTTGGTTAGTAACTACCCCAAGTGGAAAAGCATATATTGGCATAGGGTAGATTTTGATTTTTGAACTATTTTCTACCTACAGTCAACATGTAAAGCAAAGCGATGCATATAAAAAAACTCAGAGGTTTTATACTCTTTTTATCGTCATATCCTAACGATTAACGAAATTTGAGAAACTCCTAACCTGAGTTAATATAAAACTTTTAGACCGAAATATAACTAGAAGAGCTGCTATGATAACTAAAAATTGATCGGTATACTCGAAACCTGCAAAATCATAAGAGATCCAGTAAATATCAATACAAAAAAAAGAAACTGGTGATATTTTATTAACTTACATATCAACTTACATTTAATTTTTTGTGTACTATCACAAAAAGCTTCGCCATAAATAATGTATTTTCCACATATTTTTCCTGTCTAGATCATTTGTAGTAAGGAATAATTTCTGGGCTTTTGAAACTAAGAACCTTTAATAAGAAAAAGGTAATGGATAAGATCGTTAAGAACCCATAATAATGGGTAAGTAGTTCTGTGGCTGGTCACCCGATATAGTTAGTAGACGGATACCAAATCACATTTTAAATTTGTCTTGCTACCCATTCTTTGTCTTAGTTCTAAACTTTGATTTGAAACATATAATGAAATATGGTACACAATCGTCTGGCCTGAGGATTGGAAAAAGACAATAATCAAACCTGTACATAAGAAAGGTCCAACAAATAATCGTAACAACTATAGACTAGTAGCTCCAATATCACACCCTAGTAAAGTGATCCTCTACATCCTGCATGTCGTCTAAAAACTATGATACATCTTGACTGAACTAAACGGGTATGGTGTGATCGTCACATTACTATGACAAACAAGAAGAGACCCTTTTAAGTCTGGTCTTTTCCATATTTTACTACGCATGCGAGACATGGACAGTTAAAGAATCAGATGGAACACGCATAGACGCTTTTGATGTGTGGACATGGAGACGACTGTTTCGAATTCCATGGACGGCTCGCCGCACGAATACCTCGGTTTTAGATGAAATTAAACTTAATCACCGTCTTTCTAGTACTGTTTACTCTAGAATTTTAAAGTTCTTTGGTTATATCCATCGAAGTGATCACAAAATGGAGCGGTTGGTGGTTCAAGGAACACCTCCGAGTCAACGCTAACGCGGCAGCTATGGACAGACATTACGAAAAATATTCTCAACAAATAGTATACTGAGACGGTACATTGTAACAGATGACCACGAACAGTGGAGAAATATTATTAATCAAACGATCAGAACTACCGAAGCTCAATGATGAACCACAATGCATCGGGTAAGATGTTAATGACTATTATGAGGTAATGGATATTATAAACGAAAAACAAAAAGGACAAGAGGAAAATTATGTGGTCCAGTTTGATTTCTCGTGTACCTTAATATATTGATTTACAAGATACATTTAAGTGTATCAATTTTTTAGGATAAAATGTTTCAGTTCGATCTCGTTTAGATGTAGACTGAAATTAACTAGAGCAGTGTATTTTTGCGTTATTTGCTTTAAAATTATTTATAATGAATGTGTTTACAAGCCACACAACATGGTTTTTAAACTATTAAACTGTTTGCATGGTTTGCTAAAGTATAAAATTACATCATTATGATTAATTTGCGGTATAGTGTTAATTTCTACATATAGCTCCCATTTCTAGGTACCTAATATTAAATTTCTCTGAATATAGTGTGACACGTAGGCACATAAAAAAATTACCATAAAATATGCTACTTTTATAAAATGTTAAACAAATAAAACTAACATCTAACGCTTTTTTCCGTATCGCAAACAAAGCTTTTTCTGTTTTTTCCCGTTTTAACGTTTTTCTTAATCCATTCTCCCTAATTTTCTTTATCCAGTTCAGATTTGGTTAATTTATATAGGTATACGCATGATACTAAGACTTCCAAGATAAACCCACTTCGCAATCGAATTTTGTACATCGACGCGCATGACGTCAATTGGTGATAAAAGTCACTTTTATCACCAACCTTTTATCATCACAGTCGGTAAAACATATATGGAAAGAAAGGGGTTTTTATTTAAATATTTAGAATATTAAGGGATGTTAGGTAAAATATCTGCAATTAAATCTTAACAATATGTTATATATACATCTCTGTTAGCCTAGCAATGTAAACTAAAATTATATAAAAAAGTAAGAACTAAACATCCTTTTGCAAATGGAAATTTATATACAATGGATTGATTTATTAAAATAAAAATTTAATACAACTGATAAAATAAAATACACTGTAATAATTTACAAGTTTATTTAACAATTTATTTTACAATTTTTAATATTTTCTTCTTCTTAACTTTGGATGTTTCTTTAATATATCTATTCAATTTTCTAATTTTAAAATATAATTTACACCTTTACTAACATTACATCTGAACACAGCTAAATTTATTAGCGATTTTAAATAATTCTTGGTTAATTTTAATGACCCTTTGTTAAAATTGTTAAAAATATGGTCCAGTTCATTACATTTAATTAGAAAATCTGGATATGGTTTAAGTAAACCTCCTTCGGAAAGATGGTTTACCCAGTAAACCGATGTCAACGTACAAGATAAACGATAAAACAAAACTAAATCTCAAGGTTAGTAGATATTTAAGTAGATATTTAAATATCTACTAATCTTGACTAAATCTGACAAAACTCCATACAACACAGAACATTTCTGGTGACATTTGTCGCCAAGTGACGTCACACGACTGATCGCGTGCGCGTGGGTTTATCTGTAGTTTATAGTATCATGGGTATACGGATCTTTTATCTGTCTGTGTCAAATGGTTTTTCTGAGTAGTTCACTAAAAGTTTTGCAAAAATAATAAAAGAAAACCTTATTTTTGGGAAAAATTAGCTTTACGGTTTTTTAAGTATCCTATGTACTTTATGATTGAATAAGAAATTACAATAAAAAAACAGGGTTTTTTATTAAATTCAAATCTTTCGTAAATTTTGAGACACCCTTTATTATTATTTTTTTAAGTAAAATAAATATTTCCGACACGGGGTTTCCTACAGAGTAAAACATAAATAAGATCAAACCAGAACATATACCGAACCTACCACCATGATTTTATTTTGTTTTAGGTGAGTGGCTACAGCTTTTTTTCATTTCTATCTATATACATATATCTTTCATAGACCAATAGTTTCCAGCCAGTAAATTTAAAATTAAGAAATATTCACAGACATCTTTTACTGAAAAATATGAATACCTACGTGTGCCATCGTCTTCTCCTTTTATTTGGGGTATGCTTAATATGCTCTGTCTATAGTTGGTAAGAGATTTCTGAGATTTGTATTCCGGTAAGTTCAAAACAGATCCAGAATAAAAAATATCCTTCCTAGACAGTGGTCTGACCATTTGACGAGGCTCTCTCCGACTATTGATCGACAATTTGGAAGTATATGCCAAGCTCTCGACATCAACCTGAAATAAAAAACAATATTTTAATAACGCATCTCATAACAAAATATGATGTCATTTAATGTTGAACGAACCTTCAATTCTAGTGCAAGGTCTTCTACCAAGTGAATGCAGTCAATATTGTAATACATTTTTAACTAATGATTATAAAAAATTAATAATAAGAAGTAGGTTTGTATTATTCTATAAACCATCGTTTACTACATAATTAAAATAAAACATCCCTTAGATACAATATTTTTCCCTTCCCATCTTTTAATGATACAACTATAATATATTTCCACGTTAGCAGAAAATTACAACAATTATTAACTTACTTGCAAAAAGTAATGGATATAAGAGAAAATACATAATTTGCTAAATAACAAATTTCAAAAACATACATTAATCTCATTTGTTTAACATAAAAAAGTCAGGGATCTTTCAACAAAATATGCCGTTCAGATATAAAGGCAAATTCGAGATTTTGTGTTTTGTTCCTATTGTGTGTTGGAATGTACTGATATTGGATATTTATAGAAAAAAAGAGATACACCAAAAATTGAAAGAATAAAATAATTTAAGACCACTTGATCTAAGAGAAGAATATTAAAACGAAAATAACATAATCGAAAAATAGAATCACTTTAAATCAGCATTTATCGAGCCTATAAAGACAATATGTAAGAATGCAATACCTAAAGTATCCATGACATGGATAAAAGACAGAACGTAAAGACCAAGATTACCGCACTCTAATCCTGATGGGACATACGTTGAGAGCATGCTTAAAAGTGATACATGCTAGAATATCCAGAAAGCTAGAACAAAATATCAGCCGAACTCAATTTGGATTTCGAGATGGTCTAAGCACCTACAACACGTTATTCTTACGTGATGTTATGTCTGTATGCTTTACAGACTGTTATGTCTGTATGCTTTTTTTATATATTATCTTCGATAAAGTTCGTCATATCCATCTGATAAAATTTTTACAAGAAAAAACCTGGACTCAAAGATATTAAGATTACAGTAGAATCTCACTAATCCAACACTTCAATAAACCGACACGTCCAATATTTCGCCACCATCTACCGTGTTCTCCCCCATCCCTTCTTAAACAGAGACACCACGCATGCGCTCCGTCATACGTACGTCTACGTACGTACATATTTACTTGCTGTTTTAAGTAGAATATTGTCGTTAAAAATTTCAAGTAATCGTAAACAAACACTCTAGCTGTGAAAGATAAAATGAACATTTTAAAAAAGTTAGATAGTGGAGAAAACATGTGCAAATTGGCAAAAGAATATGGAGTTGAACTAGAATATGGACCGCCTGAAGACGATGGAATCTGGATCAGGAAATCGCAAAACATTAAGAGTTGATGAATATCGAAAGATGAAAAAAGCTGTCTACATGTGATTCATGTAAGAGAGTTCTAAACACATTCATGTATCTGGAGAAATTCTGAAAGCAAGCAAGAGAATTTTGTAAGAAAAATTACAAAGCAAGATGATTTTCGGACCAGTGTTGGGTAGCTGGATAAATTTAAAAAGTGATTTGGTATCCGTCTGCTAACTATATCGGATGAAAAATGGTTAATTTTTCACATTTGAAGTGGCTGCACTTCAAATTCTAACGGATTTGAAGTGCAGCCATTTATCCAGAATTTTAAAGACAATGTAGAAAAACCGGGTCTTCTTCGTGACCAAATCGATAAGGCAGATAAAAGTGGTCTATTTTGGAGACTATTGCCCAACAAACAATCGTATCCTCTAAAGAAGCGAGCGCGCCAGATCATAAAGGAAGTAAAGATATAATCACATTTATTCCGTGTTCAAATGTTACTGCAACACACAAATTGGATTTTTTGGTGATTGGGAAAACTAAAAATCCCATATTTTTTAAAAACATTTGTCTGTCAGTCCGCTAAAAAAACCAATTGAAAAGTTGGGTCACGAGAGAGATATTAGTGAATGGTTTCATAAAGACTTTATCAGGTGAAGAAGTTTATAAAAAGATCCAATTTACCAATAAAAACTTTCCTCGTAATTACAATGCTCCAGACTACACAAATGAACAAGAACTTTCAAGTGATGGGAATATCCAAACCATCTTCCTATCACCAAACTTCACACCTTTATTGCAGTCGATGGATCAAAAAGTGATCCAAAAGGCAAAATCCAATGTATAAAAATAAGTATACTGTCTGATTTCTGGGGTGATGAAGAAAAAGGAGCAGGAGGACAGAAGAGGAAATTGAGCCAGAGATCTGAAATTTATGGTTAAGATTATATATTAGTTTATGGCCTAACGTCTGAAATATTTTCTGATTTACGGTAATAGGTATGGTTATTTGTATATTTTTTTATTTTATTTGTTTATTGAGTGGCAAGACCACCTCTTTGGAACGGTATTTAAAAGGTTTTAGCCAGAACACGGTTAATCCGGCACTAACCTGGGGTCTTCTGGCCCAGTATCCTACTCGAGCGAAAGACGCCAGGGTGTCTTGTTCCGTGACGTAGATGTCCAAAAAAGATTTCTGTCAGAATGCCTGTCAGAATCAATGGTTACCTTTTTAGGCTCTTACTGGAATCTGGCAATGCGGCAATTAAAAAAAAATGTATAAAAATAAATTGCTCAACCATATTAGTTTTAAGGAATAAAGCAGAGCCACTAAAAATTAATTTGACCGATGTTATATTCCCTCTCGCATAGTGCTCTCTTTCACTTGACTTAATACAATTATCACAGAAAAAGCTATGGCCTACAATGAATGCTGTATCCCAAGAAACAAAAAAATTTGACCTTGAAGATAATCTACCTATTACCGATTGGTTTCAAAATGTATCAGAAACAGGATTCGAGACAAGTAAAGAAGCTTTACATTCTTGGTTTGGAGTGACCGAGGAAAGAAAGCAAACCAGATAAGGTAAAAGTAAAACCAGATGCAAGATTAAACTGTTTCAATACCGGCATAACATGGGCTGAGGAAAATCACGCATGTGCTAAAAATATTATAATTCTTCGGAACGTGCCAGAAAATTAAACAAGGCAAGTTGCACAAAACACACCTCAATTGAGGATTATTTTAAACTACGTTAACTATGTAATTAGATAAATGTGAGATATGTTACAGTTATAAAAGAATGTATGGAACATGAACACAAATACATACGTTGTACGCTACGCTCAGTCAGTAGTTTACACCTTCATTTTTACTGTAATACGGTCAAATCGAAGTGTCGTACGGATTTGCTAAATGTCAAAGTGTATTAAACGCGTCCAACAAGTCTAGAATGCATTTAAATGACGCGCAAAAAACATGAGAAATCGCCTAATTCGAAGAAGGTTGGCCACTGAGGCAATTTGCTGCAGATTTGGATCATTTTGCCTCTATCGCACGGTTGGGTGGTTCAAGAAGACAGATCTCCATAGAGCAACAAGATGTGATGTTAGTAGATTATCTGAGAGAAGCACCTTTTGCCACAGCTCGACAGCGTGTCCAGGCAGCATTCCTGTGTTTCACAAGAGAAGATGAGTTGAATTTTGTAATGAATTCGTAATATAGTAATTGTATTTCAATCTTATAGTAAAGATCACAGTAAGAGTTTGTAGACCGATAAATCATAGGTTTGATCAACGGTATACTCATCATTTAAGAAATAGTAAAGTATTCTCGGTCAAAGTGTGGGGATGGATAAGTGCTGAAAGCTCGTTTCTTCTCGTATAGATAAAAAATTAACAGGATTATGATATAAATACCTGTAAATATCTGCATTTGGAATGAACCACGCGCATCAGTGATGGCACGAAGAGCCTTAGATTGAAATTGCTCTAGTATTTCTATGTTGCTATTTGCTGCAGTTCCCAACAGTTCAATCCCGTATGTCCAGATAGGTAGGATGATTGCTTTATACATTAATATTTTGTTACTTAATAGTGTTGGGAATTGGTCCCAAGACACTGCTTTGCGAAACCCCTGCCTTTATGTTGTAGATGTTAGATACATTTTCTTCGTATCTTGCATAAAATATTCTTTCTTTAAAGTATGAATTTAGTATCGTGTATAGTGAGGTATTGCGTTCTTAAGTTTAAATAGCAATTTTAGATGCAAGACCTTGTCAAATGCTTGACTAACATCCAGGAAAATGATATTGCAAAAGCTCTTTTCCTAGGAGGCTGATTGTATCTTTTCTACCACCCTATGCACTTGTTCAGTTGTGCCGTGTTTTTGGCGACAACAGAACTCATGATTAGGTATAATATTGTTAATCTGTATTTCAACAATCAGTCTACTGGCAATGACTTTCTCTGCGACTTTGGAAATAACTGGTAATAGGCTGATGGTCGGTAGGATGTAATCGCATACGAAGGTTTTCCTGGTTTTGGAATAGTAATAATTTCTGCTAACTTCCATTGTGCAGGAAAGTAGCCTATTCTTAGTATCGAGTTTATGATTTGTGACTTACTATTTATTTTTTGATAGATTATATATGTTAGCCGTTCTGAGCTCTTGTTCTAATTATCTTTCAGTGATTTCTACATCATCGGAATATTATCATAAGACTGTCAATAAGCCTCGGAAATAGGGTGTCTGAAAAACGCCACAATTCAACCAAAATGCCAGAACAAAATAACTTTAGAACGATATGAAGATATTTTAATAGTTTAGAGTGTATGATTAGTTCACGCTAGAAGGTTTATATAACATCTTTTCTGTAATCTATTGTAATTATTTGTCTTCAGTCTCAGTCTTCAATTTATCAGATGGGTTCTTAATTGGCGTTGATGATATAATAATTATTAATTGTTTACTGCTGAAATTCTTAAAACTCAATTTTCAATCAATGAGAAATATTCATTATTTATATTATTTAAATGATAAAGCAGTGTAATTAGTTAAGATAAGTTATCATATTGTTTATGATATAACTTATTATAATCAAATCTATATTTTATTTAAGTATTCTATTAATACACGTTTGCATCAGTCAGATGTTTTTATACATGTGTAATCGCTTATATTTTATAGAAAAAAATGTGTCCCCATCAAAAATTGTTTAGATTTAAACTTTTTCAAAAACCGCACGTATATTTGATTAATTATTAAAATTTCCATGAGTCATTTGCATACAACTCGATAAAC